CAGGGCAAGCAGCTCTACGAAAGCAAGGGGCCACAAGGCCAGTCCACAAGCATATAAATAGCAAAAATAGTGAGATGCAAGAGTACAAGGCAAAGCATCTCTACGCAAGCAAGTGAGGGCTTGTAGACACAAGGCCCAGCTGGTTGCAGAAACGCTGGTGGTCACAAGGCGGTAACGCCTTGGTGAAGATATCTGCAGTGTTGGCCTCAGAGACCACACGTACCACGCGGGCCTGGCCACGCTGCTGCAACTCGCGCAGAAGGAAGTAACGAAGCTGGATGTGCTTCGCATTCCCAACCAGTCAAGGATCCTCGCACAACAGGACAACAGACATGATGTAGGCGAAAACGACTGGGGGAGAGCGAGGCCACTCACCAAGGTCCGTGAGGAGAAAAGACAGCCAGCGAAGCTCCTGGGCGGTCATGGCCGCAGCGTACACACAGCTGGAACTGGAGACGGACGATGCCGGAGTCGACCTCCACGAAACAGCTACCGTCCCAAGGCTGAAGCAGTAACCCTGTGTAGACCGCAGCGACTCAGCGTCGTCGGCCCACGACGAGTCCTAGTAACTTGTAAGTGTAACTGGCTTCTTCCATCCAAGGACAAGTCCCATGCCTAATGTACTCGCCACATACTTCGCCACCATCTTAGCAGCGTACTAGTGGGAAGGTCGGTGTCTCCTGGGTGCCACAAAGCGCGCCAGGACGCTAAGAGGGAAAGCTAGGTCTAGGCGAGTACAGGTCATGAGGTACATGAGACAACCCACCAACTCAGGATATGGACTGCTGGACTCAAATGGCTCGTCCGAGGATGTAGCCGTGAGCCCATGATCCACAGCAAGAGGGGTGAGTTGTACCTTGAAGAACGGGAAACGAAACCGCGTGAGGATTTGCTCGACCATATGCGACTGCGTCAGCCTAATGGTGCAAGCTGCCCTGTCCTTGGTGATATGCAGGCCAAGGTAGCGCTGCAGCTAACCAAGGTCAGTGCAAGTGTGTCTCCTCTACAGTTCCTCCTTCATGGAGGCCAGTACGCGTCGGTCGGGAGTGGTGAAGACGAGGTCGTCAACGTAAACCAGAACAAAGAACGGGGTCGAGCCACGGCTGACGAAGAGTGACGGGTCTGGAGACGACGGAAAGAAGTCAAGCGCTGCAAGAGTCGTGTGAAGTGTGTCGTGCCACTCACGAGGAGCCTGGCGCAGGCCGTAGACCGGTCGACGCAGCTGCCACTGGGTCTTTGGAGGGAAAGAGCCAGTGAAGCCAGGTGGGCGACGCAGCCAGATCTGCTCGTGCAGGCTCCCCTAAAGGAACGCTGTGGAGAAGTCCGAGGAGTGTAACTCGTAGTCGCGCTTGGATGCAATATGCAGCAACACCCGAAGAGTGGTCATCTTTGGGGTGGGAGCGAAGGTCTGAAAGAAGTCTACCCCCTCTCGCTGACTGAAGCCTCTCGCAACGTAGCGCACCTTGAACACCGGTGGTGAGCCAGGCGGCCGCTTCACCTAATAGAGCCACATGCCACTGACGACGTTCGCCCCAGGTGGTGGGACGACGTCGACGTAGGTGCCTGTGGACCTATAAAAGGTCCCGAGACCGACTCGGCGTGGGTGCGAGGGATCGGGATGTCAATGCGTCTGGGTCCCCCTCGGGGGCAAGCAGCATGGCACAAAGATGAGGGACAGCGGCCGCAGAGAAACCAAGCTCGAACTGCCTATCCTCCAGGACCTCCAAGGAAAAGACATGAGCACCCCCAGAGGACGGAGAACGAGCAGGACCACTCACCAGGTGAGTGGCAAAGTCAAGGCGGTGAGAAGAGGCAAAGCCAGCGGCAGTGGTGGCAAGAGCTAAGACAGAAAACGGGGGGGCACTCGGGTGAGTGACCAACGCTGACAGATCACGGGAGACGACAGGACGGGAGGCATGGAGGTAGTCGGACAACGGGTCCTGAAACACAGTGAGGGACGACTTTGGAGGCTGTGGAAGGACCGGTGGAACACGAGAGCGGAGAAGAAGGTGAATCGAGCCGTCTGCACGGTAACGGGACTGACGGGGCTCTGGAGACACAGCACGACATAGGGGAGCACGACGAGCCCACGGGGACGAGGAAAGGGACTGAACAGGGGGAACAAGAGGGGACGATAGGGGACCACGAACCAAAGTGCTGGGTCGGGCAGGTCGCGCAGTCGTTGCTGCTCCGCCTCCTCTGCCCTCTCCTGCTGCGGTTGCAGCTGCACCTGCTGCTGCTGCCGAGACTCCTGCTCGATTCTCTCCTGCTGCGGCTGCAACTGCACCTGCTGCTGCAATCGTGACTCCTCCTCTACTCTCTCCTGCTGCTGCTGCAACTGCACCAGCTGCTATAGCCATAACTCTTGCTCTACTCTCTCCTGCTGCGGTTACAGCTGCACCGGCTGCTGCAGTCGTGACTCCTCCTCTACTCTTTCCTGCTGCGGCTGCAACTGCACCTCCTGCTGCAGTCGCGACTCCTCCTCTACTCTCTTCTGCTGTGGCTCCTCCTCTACCCTCTCCTGATGTTGCGACTGAGACTGCTCCTGCTCCTGCTGCTGCTGCTGCTGCTGCTGCTGGTGCTGCTGACGTGCCCTCTCAAACTGCTCCCGCTCCTCCCTCTCCAACCGGAGAAGACGGTGCTCACTGGTCAGGAAACGTACACTGCGCGGTGTAGGCGCTGCAGTGCCAGTGTCTCCAGCTCCAGTACCCCCAGAACCAGAACCTCCACCACCGACACTCCCGGTGTCTCCATTACCTCCCGCAGGAACACCCCCAGGCCGCAGAGAAAAACGAGGAGGGAACTGCAAGACGGACGAGAATCCTGGGGGTGACGCAGGGTGAGGCCGCCGACTCTAGACTGCCGTGTCCTCCACAGGAGTGACCTCTACGCCCACACCCCTTGCACCCCCAGAACATCGGGGAGGACAAGGCCTCAGCACCTCACTCGGGGCGACTCCTGTACTAACTGACCGACTCGTCGAAAGTGACGTCCTTAGAGGCGAAGAACTGGCGGGTGATCGGGTCGTAGAACCGCCAGGCGTCAAGTGGGAAGCCAAGAAAGATGCAGGCACGGGTGCGCGTGGACAACTTGTTCACGCCAGGGGCGCGAACGTGAGCCAGGGAACCCCAGACGCGGTAGTCAGCTGATACACCCGGAGAACATGTCCAAAGGGAGACCTGCGTCACCCGTGGTCGTGCGTCGCTAGGCCACAGGTTCAGTTGGTTCGCGGCGTAGCGGACTGCCTGAGGCCACAGGAACTGGGGGGCACCGGCATGGCACATGGAGGTCCGGGCAACCTCCATGACCTGGCCGATGCGTCGCTCGGCTACCCCGTTCTGCTGCGACGAGTCTGGTAGCGTGTATGACTAGATGATCCCCTGACCCTGACAGAACGACTTCATGCGCATGGAGGAAAACTCACCACCACGGTCTGAGTTTAGACGGAGTCCACGCAGGCCCTGGGCTCCACCCCTCGCTATTAGGTACGGCTCGAGGACAGTAGGCACTTCGACCTTCCGTCGCAAGGGTAAAACCGTGGTGTAGCGGGAGTAGTCGTCCACCACAATCAGGAAGTAGCGCTCCTGACGTGGGCCAAGGACCGGGGAGGGGCCCCAGACGTCCAAGTGCAGGGTCTGTAAAGGAGCCGTGGTGGGGGGGAACGAGGAGGAGTGAGGGGCAGCGCGCTGCCAACCCTCGACGCAGGGGGTGCACGGTGATGCAGGCGAGTGACTCTGGGAGACCTGAGGCCAGACAGTGACGCACCATCCTACTGAGACGCGGGAAGGACGGGTGACCTAGACGGTGGTGCCAGAGGACCGACGGGTGGGTGAGTGACCGACAGTCGGACGACACGGCAGCTACCTGACCTGACCTGACCTGACTTGGCCCAGTGTGGTGGGACCCAGTGTGTAGTGAGTACAGACCGACCCGGCTCTATGTGAAAAGTGGCCAGAGGCGCCCCAGTGGCACCGAGTGTGCAGGAGGCAACAGGCTCGTTTAGAGGGAAAGTAGTGACTACACCGAGGTCGTGGAGGTGACTGAAACCCACCAGGTTCCTGGAGTACGAGTACGAGGGGGTGTAGTAACATGTGAGAAACCTAGAGGGAGCCGCCAAACATGGGAAAGTGGTGGTGCTGTGGGCAACGTCAGGTCCCACAGAGGGGTCGGCCAAGGCGACCGTGACTGGACTGCGCAGTGGCGTGAGGTCGGTGCAGTCGCGAAAGAAACAGCTGGACGCCCCGGAGTCGAGGGTGGAGGACAATTGCGCAGTCGGTGAGGTCGCACCCGAGCCAGCGACAAAGGTTGGTACTAGACTAGTGGTAGCTGCAGCTCCCACACAAAGACCCTCAGACGCACCGAGACTAGACACTACACACGCACCAAGACAAAAAACACAAGGCCCTACTCGTGCAGTCGGGAAAGGTCCTAGACTTGGTAGGTGCAACGCAACTGGTCGAACAGAACCCTGGCGAAGACGCGAAGGGCAGTGCGGTGGAATAGCGTCAGGACCAAAACGCTCACGGTGGAGGTCGTCGAGGCGACGGTAACAGTGGGGCGCGGAGTGGTCATGACGCCAGCAGGTGGTGCCAGCACGAGGGCCAGTCAAGATCCGGTACCCGCAAGGGCCGACGTCGCGCCCACTGCTGGCTGAGTCGCTGCTGGGGCCGGTACTCCTTGGACCCTGAGGTCCCCATTGTCGGGAGTGTTGCGGCTGCTGTCGCTGCGGTTAGCCCTGGTGCTGCAGAACGCTAGTGGACGCCATGGTAGGCGCTAGAGACGGACGAGCGCAGTGGGGAGCGGCTAGGAGTGGTCGGGTACTGTCCGGTGCGGTCTAGTGCGGAGGGGAGCGGTCTAGGAGCGGCCAGGTACGGTCTGGTGCGGTCTAGCATGGTCCAGTGTGGTTGAGTGCAGTGGAGTGCGGTGGAGTGCGGTTAAGTGCGGTACCGCGCGGTTCAATGAGGTTTTGTGCGGTATTGGGGGGGTCAGGGGTGGGACGCCTAGTAGGTAGCAGGTGGGGCGGCTGGTAGTAGGTGAGACGGCTGGTAGGAGGCGGAGGAGGGGGGAGGGGGGGGGGGACGCGACAGGGAGGGGACGCGCGGGGAGGCGACGGGGAGGGGATGCGACGGGGAGGGGAAGGGGAGGCGACAGGGAGGGGACGCGACGGGTAGGCGATCAGGAGGGGACGCGACGGGGAGGGGAAGGGGAGGCGACGGGGGGAGGGGGGAACGCGACAGGGAGGGGACGCGCCGGGTAGGCGACGGGGAGGGGACGCGACGGGGAGGGGACGAGACGGGGAGGCGACGCGGAGGGGACGCGACAGGGAGGGGAAGGGGACGCGACGTGGAGGGGACGCGATGGGGAGGCGACGGGGAGGGGACGCGACGGGGAGGCGACGGGGAGAGGACGCGACGGGGAGGGGACGCGTCAGGGAGGCAACGAGGGGGGGGGGAACGACGGGGAGGGCTGCGCGGTGACGGGGCTGCAGGACGACGGGCTAAGGGGGGGGGAGGAAGGCTGCGGGGTAACGGTCGCCCTTCTAACACGTGATTCGGGGGGGGCGCGGGGGCCTTCCTAGGTCGCGACGTGGGGGACCCGCAAGGGCCCTTCTAGCGCGCGATTCGGGGGGCCCGCGGGGGCCTTCCTAGGTCGCGGCGTGGGGGGACCCGCGGGGGTCTCGTCTAGCGTGCGATCTGGTGGGCCAGGGGCCGTTCTAGGACGTGACGAAAGGGGGGACCCGCGTGGGGTCTCTCTCTAGCGCGCGATTCAACAGGGGGGAGCGGGGCGCTAAGGGTAACGGGGTACTCACGGGCGAGCGCGGGGCGCTGGGCCCATGGAAATCGAACGGCTCTGTACCATGTCAACGTGGTAACGAAATAAGAATTACTAGAAATGGCAAAGACAGGGAAGATATAGCAAACCCTAGCCAACCCTAGCCAACCCTAAACGTAAATGTACACCTAGACTAGCAAATACAAACTATAACAATTATAGTTTGACATGAAGAGGGCGATAAACGCGGGGGCGTTAGGCTAGGCCGTACAACTTACGAAATGGCAACATCCGAGAAAATCGTCGACATTGGCACGGTCTGTGCTGCCGTACCAGAGGACCTGGAGAGCATAATTCGGGGGTATTCCGAAATTTTCGTGGATGACCTCCCCGACGACTTGTCACCTCAGCGACCAGAAGCCACAGGATCGAGTCTGGAGCCCGGCGCGCAACCAACTGTTCAAACACATGGCGGCTCAGCCAACCGGAGCTTGACGAGTTGCGGAAACAATTGGACTACCTACTCGCCAAAGGATTTATTCGACCGAGCACGTCACCATTCGCTGCCCGGATACTATTCACACCGAAGAAGGACGGAGGCATGCGCATGTGCATCGACTATCGAGCGCTAAATCGGGTCACTATCAAGTCGTGTTACCTTATTCCACGAGTGGACGACCTGCTGGATCAGCTTCGTGGGGCTCGCTACTTCTCAAAAATCGATCTACCTGGTGGCTACCACCAGATTCGAGTGTTCGCCGACGACTGCCCGAAGACAGCATTTCGCACATGATACGGCAGATACGAGTATACCATTAGACCAGACGAACACACCCTCGACATTCCAGCTGACCATGAATGGGGTGTTTCGGGACCTGCTTGACAAAACAGTCATCGTTTACCTGGACGACATTCTGGTGTACAGCAAGACTTGGGAGGATCATTTCAAGGATTTAGAGAAGGTGTTCCGGCGCTTGCAGCAGAATCGGCTAATGACGAAGGGCTCTAAGTGCGAGTTCCTGAAGCTGGAGCTGGAGTTCCTGGGGCTAGTGGTTTCACAAGAAGGTATTAAAATCGACCCTCGCAACGTGAGAGCAATCTCCTCGTGGAAGTCGCCGATGAACATCACGGAGCCGCAGAGTTTCCTCGGGTTTGTAGATTACATCCGCCGGTTTGTACCCAATATGGCGGGGGTAACCAAGCCGTTAACCGACCCTCTGCACAAAGGGGCGCTTTTCTCGTGGGGGGGGGGGGGAGAACAGTTGGCTTTCGACGAGCTCAAAAATATTTTGAGTTCACTCACGGTTCTTCGGCTTGCGGATCCATCTCGACCGTTCGAAGTCGTAACGGATGCCAGCGATTTCGCCGTTGGCGCCGTCCTGCTACAGGACTTCGGCAAAGGGCTACAACCTATCACGTACGAGTCACGCAAGATGCAGCCACTCGATGCTGGCCATCGTCCACACATTTCGTACCTGGTGCTGTTACCTCACGGGAGCCGACGTTACGATCAAGACAAATCACAATTCATTACCGTACATGCGAAGCCAGCCACAACTCAACCTGCGACAAATCAGGTGGCTAGACTACCTGGAGTCCAACTTTCGCTACACCATCACGTACAAGAAGTGCGCCAACAACATCGCCGACGCCCTGACCCGGCCATCAGCGCAATCCGCAACTGTACTTATCGCCCACTCCAACGAGCTTTTATCAAGACTATTCGGCCACGGTTACAACACCGACCGCTTCTTTATGCAAAATCAACACCTTCGGGCCACGACGCAGCACGGGAATTATTACCTAAAAGCCAGTACGAAGCGGATCTGGGCCCCGTCATACCAGGCCTTAGGAGAGTTGCTGACGCAGGAGGTTCATCACTCTAACCTCTCCTGGCATTTTGGCATCGACAAAACACTCAAGTTGCTGCAACAGACTTATTATTTTCCCGACATGCTATCAGACATGCAGCACTACGTGACAACTTGCTCGACCTGCCAAGCCATGAAGTCGTCGCGACAACGGCCAGCTGGATTGTTGTAGCCCCTCGAGCCACCCGAGCGACCGTGGCAACAAGTGATGATGGATTTCATCACCGGACTGCCAGCTGCCACAAGTGGCAACGACTCGGTTCAGGTCTTCGTTCATCACTTAACAAAAATGGCGCATTTCGCACCATGCCGCACGACGATCAGAGCTGAAGAAATAGCGAAGCTGGTCATCTCAACCGTCGTATGCGTACACGGGTTACCTTCGGCGATCATCAGCGATCGAAATCCGGAATCTACGTCAAAATTCTGGCAGGAGACGTGGGCACAGTACGGCACCCGCCTGCAGTTTTCGTCGTCTTACCACCCGCAAACCGACGGTCACACAGAATGGACAAATCAGACCCTGGAGTAGCTGATACGCACCAACTGCCCTGACCTGACCAAGTGGGAGGACTTGCTCCCGATGCTGGAGTTTGCGTATAACAATGCACCCTCTGCAACGACTAACCAGTCACCGTCCTACATAAATTACGGGATAGACCCCGTGTACCTTCATGAACGACTCCTGACAATCCGGTGCCACGATCCCAGCAGTTTGTCACGGAACTCCATGCAGCCCGCGTCAAAGCAACGGAATTTATCCGGAGGGCAAACACGGTCGTTAGCCGCAATGCCGACAAACATCGAAGGGGTTTACCCTTCCGCGACGGGCAGATGGTTCTCCTGGACACAAAGAATCTTTGACTGCCCCAGCCGCCGAAACTCCGTCCCCGCTACGTGGGACCCTTCTGCATCATCAGGATGCTGATACATATTGAAGATACTATTACCAGATGACTGGAAATTTAATGATGCCGTCCACATCAACCTGCTGCGTCATTACGTCGCACCACACTCGTCCGACGTCGCCCGCCCCAACATCGCGCCAAGTGTTCGGCCTGTGGCAGACCCGACACTTCAGCCCTGGAAGATTTTGAATCATCGGGTGCGTGTGACGCCGACAGGTTGCCACGTCGATTTCCTACTGCGATGGGTCGATCGCACAAGTGAAGGTGATACGTGGGTCACGCCCGACTCGCTACAAGGATACTCGGTATTACGAGATTACTTTTCCCGCCGAAGCGTGCCTGATATTGACCACCTTTCTTAAAGAGGGGGGGAGTGTAAGGAAATTTCCCTAATTCCTTACACAGGCACTCCATACACGTACAACTCCAACTTTCGGAGTTCCAGGCTCGGTCCGATGACCTCGCCCTCTGAACGTCCCTCGCGTCGCCTTCGGGTTTCCCAACCCCGAACCTGCACCCAACCATTCGCGGTCCTGCGAACTTCTGCCTAGCTAGCCTTCGCTATATCTGTGCTAGGCTTCATTATTCACTCAGTAGTTGTAATCACTTCCGCTTTATTGCATTCCTGCGCACTCTTCTTTATACAACTCATAACATTGTCATAGTGTATGCGGAAGTTGTTATGAGTGCAATTGAGTGAACGGAAGAAGATTGCACTATCGAAGCAAAAGTACATTGAGCGAAGGAATGAGCGAATGTTATATATCGAACTAGCGTGGTATCGGTAACGTGCGAAGTGTGGGGTGCGCGACGGGTCTGGCACCGAGGTTGGGAATTGTCGAGGCGGAGGACCAGAGCGCGGGTTACCAACCTAACCGTGGGGTTGGGTCGCGATGTGAACAGTGGCTGGAACAATGGTCGAGGCGATTGTCGCGAGTGGTAACGTTTTACTCTAGGGTGCTGTTGGCGGGAACAATCATGCGGTAAGCAGGGGCGCGAAGTAAGAAAATTGAAATTTCCTTACACTACCCCCCTCCCCGAGGAGGAGCCCTTACGAAAGGGCGTGTATGTTGCGAAAACTTCTGCTGCGCAGGTACTCGGTGAGGACGGGGTGGTTCTCGATTTTATCCAGGGGAACCCAACTGTCCTCCGTGAAAGGGCGGTCTTTCCATCACATCAAAAAATCGATGCGACGTGCTCAACGAGGGTAGCGAACTTGGTGGCTCAGGATCGGGGGTGATGATTGGCTCGGTTGGGGGACGTGTCATGCTTGACGGGCGGCTATGTGGCAGTTGGCTTGTGGATGGGACGTAGGGGCGGAGGAGACTGACGTGGAAAGAGGGGTTGACGTACCAATCAGCGGGCAGGAGGAGGTGGGCCGTGACGGGGGTGACCATGTGACTTATTTGAAATGGCCCGCAATACCTTGGGCGTAGTTGTGGGGTGATGGATAGGCGGAGGTTTTGGGTGTCGAGTAATGTGAGGTCGTCGGGCTGGTAAGTGACAGGGCGGCGATGGCGATCGGCATTGCGTTTAGCGATAACGTTCGGTTTTTTAATGGCTTTTGCTGCTCGGGTCAGGGCTGCTTGTAAAATCTCGGCAAACGGCTGCGCACATGGTACTGGGTTGTCAGGGCTCGGCATCATGGGCACTGTTGGGTTTTGTCCGTAGTTGAGGTAGAAAGGCAATTGTTGGGTCGTGGCTGACGTGGAGTTGTTGTACACGAACTCGATGTGTGGCAGCTGCCGCTCCCAAGTTGCCGGGTCGTCGCACCTGGCTCGTATTAACTGCTCCATGGCTTGATTGGTCCTCTCTACTTGACCGTCAGTTTCGGGGTGGTACAATGAATCGAATTGCATTCGCGCACCGAACTGCTACCACAGGTTCCACTAGAATTTGCTGGTGAATCTCGTATCACGGTCGCTGATGCTCGCCGCGTGTATTCCGTGAAGTCGAACGACGGTGGCAACGAAACGTTGTGCTGTTTCTTCAGCTGAGTTTGACCTTTTGCATGCTGCGAAATGGGCCATTTTTGTGAGCCGATCGACGACGGCCAGGATCGCGTCATTCCCACTCGCCCCAGCCGGTAACCCCGTGACGAAGCCCATCGTCACCTGCTGCCAAGCACGCTCTGGGGGTGGTATCGGCTGCAACTATCCTGCCGGTTGTTGTCGTGACGACTTCATGAGCTGGCAGGTGGGAGACGATGCCACGTGTCGTTGCACGTCGGTCAGCATCTCGGGCCAATAATAATACCGCTGCAGCTGATGTCGTGTTTTTTTTACCCCAAAGTGCCCTGGGGTAACTCCGTCATGTGCCTCCTGTAATAGTAACTCCCGCTGTAGTGTGTAGCCTGGTACCCAGATGCGATCGGTACCAGCTTTATGTAATAAATCCCTTTTGCTGCTGCGAATTTACTCCTGTGAAGGATGGATCTGTCTGGAAGCTGTGGGTACATAGTATTGTGAGCAGTAGGCTGGTCAGGGCGAGTAATATTGCATGTATTTGGGCAGTCGGGCGGGTCAGTGCGTCGGCAATATTTGAAGCACCCTTTTTATAGGTAACCGTGTAGT